TTTCTTTCTTTCTTTCTTTCTTTCTTTCTTTCTTTCTTTCTTTCTTTTTGAGAGCAGTATTCTTAAAGCAGCAGGGATAAAGACCAATGGGACCTGAATATTGAGATGGGCCTGGAAAGATTGCGGATAGCACCTGAGTTGCATCTTGAGCAAAGGGTAAGGATGATTTAGTTTGGGGGAGGGGCGTGTACTGGCTCTGGGGCTTCAATGACACCATCAGCCACTAGCTTAGGCCCTCACCCAGCCCTCTGCTCTCCTCTGAAGCACTGAAAAGTGAAGCAGGCTTTTTGAGAAAGCTCTTCCAGGAAAGGCTGAAAAGGCAGTTCAAAATTAATTGCAGGAAAACACTCAATCCAGGAGATGGTCTCCTCTAGGCCCCTGGACTACAGCAGATGGTGTAGTTTAAATTTCAGAAATTGAGGAGTACTTAAGGAAAAAAATATGCTGGCAGGCATCAAGGTACATATAAAACCATCTGAACTGATGAGGGAATCCAGGCCTCATGATTCTAGGAGACAAGAAGCACGAACAGAGGTAGGAGCCTGGAGGGCTCAGATAAGGGCCTTCTGACAGAGGCTCTTGGACTGAGGGAAAGGAGGGAACAAGGTGAGAGAGAGGGGCAGTCCCAGTGATTTCTGACACCCTAAACTGCGATAAGCCACAGAGCCTATTCCCTTTGGGACAAAGAAAACTATCTTCACCAGATGATCAGGAGAAGGGCATACTGACTAAGAGGAGTAATGGTGCTCCAAGAGAAAGATCTAGAACTCCTGGATCAACCAGACTGGACTCAAGTCCTGGCTTTGCTACTTTCTAGCTATGTAGCCTGGGAGGTGGCATCTGGCAAGACTCCCCTTCCTCAGCAATGAGATGGAGCTTCTATAGAAATAACAAGGACTTTGAACTAGTGCTTGACACAGCAAGTAAGTAATACTTCTCAGCTTCCATTATTTTGGACCAGACACATGTCAGTGGTAGCCTAGTTGGTGGTACAAATGGAGAGTAGGATCAGGCTAGTACCCTTGCAGTAGAAGATGCCTTGGTAGATGGTGGTAAAGACTCCATGGGCTGGCAGCATGAGTTCTGAGCTCTGCAGGCCCTGTCTGTGAGCACCCAGGAAGCCTGGCACACTAGGAGCTTAGCCAGGGAGCTGTTGCCACAGTCATCCCACAGGATACTTCCTCCCCTTAGCAGCACTGCCTCTAAACTTGAGACATTTGTTCACACACTTTGAGTGTTTGCTGTGTTTTACATGGTGGTTAAACCAGAAAAGTAGCCACCTTCAGCTGCTTCATAAGCCATGACTGTGGGTTAACAGACAAACCACTCACATGATGACAGGGGTAGCAAGTATAAAATGAGACAAGGAAGTGCTACTCAATGGCTCAAAGATAGAGAGAGTGGTCATACTGTCAGATTACACATTAGTCAGAGCAAGCCAAGCAGGCATTTTTTTTTTTCCAGAGCTGAGGACCAAACCCAGGGCCTTCTGAGCTAAATCCCCAACCCCACCAAGCAGGTTTTGCTTTGAGGTATTTCCCCAGAATTAATTCTGCCAGTTTTGAAAAATGATGTCTGCAGTCTCACAAACAGAAGCGTATGGTTAGGATGGAAACAGAGGGAAGGAAGAGCCAGGGCAGAAGCAAGAAAATGAGATTTTGTTATGTCAGAAGTGGCCACTCAGGAGGCATTTGGAGCAGCAGAATTATAAAGGTCACACATTTGGCTATGACACTGAGCTTAGAATGGAAATCACATGGCCATTGCAGTCATGGATGAACACAGCCACTTGAGAACAAGTACTAAGTATTAGGAGAGAATAGTGGCTAGGATTTTGTCCTGCAAGTGTGGTGACTTGGTTTATCAGTAACCTAGGACATCCATCCAGGAATTGTGCCCAATATCTAGGGGCCTGAACAGAATGATCATTGGCCCCAGGGAATAAGGAACTGCTCAAAAGATAGCTCTCATATCTAGGGTTGATAGCCTATACCAAGTGAGTCCAGTTACTTGCCACCAAGTCTGATGACCTGAGTTTGAGCCCCAGGTCCCACATGGTAGAAATAGAGAAATGATTCATGAAAGTTCTCCTCTAACTTCTATACATATCATGGCACATGTGAATGCATACGTACATAAGTGCATGCACACATACATACAAAATAAAAACATTTTAAATGTCTGTGTTTAAGCTACACAGTGAGTTCTTGGCCAGCCTGGAATAGTGAGATTTTGTCACACACACACACAAGTACTAGAGGTATGGAGGTAGGAGAGGAGGTATTTCTAAACTCACTCAGCTAAAGCAGCTTGACCAAATAGAACAGCTAGGACCAGATTAATAAATGGGTGAAGTTAGTCTGCCCCTTTCTCCCTCTGACCTCACTAAAAGAGTTTCATTAGGGTTGCTTACAGGAGCTTGGGTGAGGGTGTCTCTCATTCACCTAGCAACTATTAACTCACTATAGATACTCAAGGAAGAATGGGTAAGGCTTTATGAGCCCTTCCTCATACATGACAAGCTCAATATTATTATAGATCTTGCATAGTTAACTACAGTGTGACTATGAGTTCGAGAATCTAACAAGTGCTGGGCAATGGACACCTTTAACTCCAGCACTTAGGAGGCAGAGGCACACAGATCTCTTTAAGTTCCAGGCCAATCTGGTCTACAGAGTGAGTTCTAGGAAAGCCAGGACTATACAGAGAAACCCTGTCTCAAAAAATAAACCAACCAAACAACCAACCAAAGAGTCTAACAACTGTGTCAACCATGTCATGCCAAAAGACAGTGTTCCACAACACCCTATCCCTACCCTTGGATAGTACATTCTTTTCACTCTTTCTTCCACAATGTGCCCAAGCCTTGAACAGAACACTACAGATGAGTGGCCCCCAACCATCACTTAGTCTCAACACCAATCAATTATGAGTCTCAAGAGTATGTTTCTCTATAATGTTGTCAAAGGCAGCTAGAAAATATCATCCTAAGTGAGGAACTCAGAAAGACACACATGGTATATACTCACTTATAAGTAGTTATTAGCCATAAAATACAGGATAAACAGACTACAATCCACAGACCCAAAGATATTAAGTCACAAGGAGAGCCCAAGGAAGGATGCTTGCATCTCACTCAGAAGGGAAAATAAAATAGACATCTATAGTAGATGGAAGGAGAGAACTGGGTGGAAGAGGGATAGGGAAGGAAACAGGGATGGGGATCAGTACTGAAGAGAGAAGGCTGGGAGAGAGAACTAAACCCACCTACAAAACCTTTGACCCAAAATTTGTCCTGCCTACAAGTAGGGCAGGGATAAAAATCGAGCAGAGATTGAGGGAATGGCAAAACAATGACTGGCCCAACTTGAGACCTACCTATAGTAGGTCTCAAGCCAACCCCTGACACTATTAATGATACCCTGCTCTGCTTGCAGACAGGAGCATAGCTTAACTGTCTTCTGAGAGACTTCATCCAGCAGCTGATAAAAACAGATGCAGATAGCCACAGCCAAATAATAGGCAGAGCTCAGGGAATCTTGTAGAAGAGTTGGGGGAAGAATTGAAGCTAGAGAGAGAGGCCAAGGGCAGCAGAAGACCACCTACAGAATCAACTAATCTGTGGCTATGGGGGTTCACAGAGACTGAACCACCAACCAAAGGGCATGCATGGGTTGGACCAAGATCTACCCTACACATGTGTAGAAGATGAGCAGCTTGTTCTTCATGTGGGTCCCCTAATAATTAGAGTGGGAGCTGTCTTTGACTCTGTTGCCTGCCTTTGGATTCCTTTCACATAGCTGGGCTGCCTTGTCTGGCCTCAGTTAGAGAGGATGCACCTAGTCCTGCTGCAACTTGATGTACTAGGGTGGGTTAGTAGGCACGGGGAGCCACCCCCTTCTCTGAGAATAAGGGATGGGGGATGGGGGGGAGAGTGTGAGTGCAGTATTGGGAAGAGAAGGAGGGGGCTATGATGAAGCTGTAAAGTGAATTAAAAAAAATAAGTTAAAAAGGCAGCAGATACTACAAAATTCAGATTCTCTCGCCTATGGGGGCAGTGCCATTCTGATTCCTTTAACAACTAGATAGGTATTAAGGTCAGGATAGAGTCTGATCCTTCAGTATTCTCTAGAACATGCTTCAAAATAACCCCATATTATCTCAAGTTTTCCACCGATTGCCCATTCTAAGTTGTCTGATCTACTTCTCCCTCCTGGTCATTTCTGGCCATGCCCCCCATCATCATCTCACTAGAACTGCCTCTTGCTGAGTCCTTTCTTCTGGGCACTTCCAACCCAAATTTTGGTGAGACACTCATCTTCCTGTCTAAATATGTGCAGTGGGAAGTAAGAGGATCCTTAAAAGGCACCTGGTTTCCTAACCTATGTGAGTCCTATCCTGGACCACCCACTTCTGGCTGTGAGGTTGATATATGATCTGAGTGAAGATGTAAACTGTGGCACTCTGGAAACCACAGGCCCACCAGACCTGTATGTCAGGGCTGTTTACATTCCTAGGCAGGCTTCCCATTCCTCCCAATGAGACGTTTGAGAGGATTCTTACCTTTGGAGTAAGGTACTTGGTCATTATTTCCTTCCCCTTCTCTCCAAGTTTTTCATCTGGAGTAACTTCATATTCTGCCTAAAACAGAAGGAAAAAAAATAACAACAGTTTTGCTACTGAAGTTGGAATAACTATGGAGCTTTGAAACCTCTTTGGGACCAATTGTCCAATCCCCTCCTTCATGAGAATAGGAAACTGTGGCACAGAGAAAGGAAGACCTGGCCAGAGCCCAAAGTAAAAAAAAAAAAAAAAAAAAAAAAATTCTACCCTCTAAAGGAGTGGATCCACACAACCATGGACTGAAACCCAATAGATTTTTGCTACAAATATGACTTTTCTGTTATTTAACATAAATTAATATTTGACAAAAATTAATATGATGATTTTTCTAGATGGTCTTATCAGAACCTTAAAAGAATCATATAGTATGACAAAGGAACAGGAACTGGTTTTTTTTTTAAATAAATCTATCTATCTGTCTATCTATCTATCTATCTATCTATCTATCTATCTATCTATCTATCTATCTA